TTATAAATAAAAAAATAAACATTAAAAGAATTTTTTTCATTATAAAATCTAAAATGATTTAATTTTAAATTAATTAAAATTTAATGTGATTTTTAAATAGTAAGATAAATAAAGAAATGATTTAATTACACTCATGCTGCATTCTTTTTTTTTTTTTAATAAAAATAGGCCTATACATTTATAATACCTCAAAATTTCCCCTTTATAATGTAATTAATTCAATTTGGTCCTAAGCAAAATGACCATGGTATATGAAGAGATATAATCAAAGCATGAAGTGGTAGGAACTAAGAGCCTCCTGGTCTTGTTATCCCTAACCACTCACCACCTTAATCCCAAAGACAATAGCAGAAAAGAGAAAACAAGAACATAAACAAAACCAAGAGATTAAAGAAAATGGCAATAAAGAGTTTAGCATTGAGAATTACGGCCTCGACTCCAGTAGTGTGAAATCTTAATGGCTCTGAAAGGAGGCCTATCCTCTTCTCTTCTCTAACTCGCCTTCTGGGTATTCCACCGTGAGCTTATTCTTCTACAATTTCATTTTCTCTTTCTCATTTCTTCGGAAGCATGGGTAATGGCTCGAAGTTTTGTGTTTCTCATCACCAACATAGTAAGAGAAGGAACTTTTTTGTTTTCATTATGGTTGATGATGGTAACTACCTTCCTTCTCTGTCTCTTACTCTACCCCACCTAGTTCAAGTGTTTGTTTTAAGTTCAGTAATTTCAATTGTCCATTTTTTGCATTCAAATGTTGTACCCTTTATTTTGATGAAATATTTTGATGTCTTCTGTATGGGTTTAGTTTTATTTGATTTAGTTGCTCCCTTGTCTTTCTTAATTTGAAAATTGAAAATTGAAAAAACTGGGACGCTTTACTAGTTCAAACTGGTTATAACCCACAGGAATTAGGTTTTTGTTTATTGGAATGTCACAGTCTGTCAAAATCCTAAGTTGTTGAATGTTCATGATTATAATTGCTCATAAACGTGGCCAATTTAATCAAGTTGCTTTTTGTAGCCCAAAATAATATAATTTGGGTGAAAATCTACACAAAATACAATAAAAGATGCAAACTTTTTTGAAAGGAGTATGATTACTGTGGACCAAGAAAAAACATGTTTAACTTCATACATATTTGTGGATAATTAATTAGAATTTCCTTTGATTGAGAGCAATGATTTAATGTATTAAAATATATACTTGTAGGTGTAAACACAATCTTGCTTTTCCATTATGCTTGAATTGACATTGCCTATAAGATATACAGATATAAGTTTGAGTTTTGTGCTTTCTTATGTGTTCCAAAGTTATATAATACTTTTAGGATTTAGGTGAATATTATCAAACTATGGTCTATTTACCATTTATGTTAGTGATATTAGGTTTTAACATCGCATGCATGAAAAGTACGTGGTAGGCTAGCAAACTCTTATTTATGGGTGATATTGTTATGGAAGATATGTTAACTGTTATAGGAAATGGGATATTATTGTCCATGAAATGTAGAGAAGAAGATAGTAACTATGTGGTTTTTCTATTGATGTTAGGACAAATTCATTGCTAGTTTTCTAGCTTTCCAATACTAAGATGGATGTCTCCTTTTCGCATTGCAGAGGCAAAGTGTGTAGTTCCATTAAAAGATTTTCGCAATATTGAAATTATGGCACACATAGATGCAAGAAAGACCACTACACTTGAATAGATTCTTTACTACACAGGAAGAAACTATAAGATTGGTGAGGTACATGAGGGAGCAGCCACAATGGATTGGATGGAGCAAGAACAAGAAAAAGGGATCACCATAACATTTGCAATGACTACAACTTTTTGGAACAAACGTAGGATTAATATTATCGATACCCCAGGTCATGTTGACTTCACCCTTGAAGTGGAGCGAGCTCTCAGGGTTTTAGATGGAGCTATATGCCTATTTGATAGTGTTGCTGGTGTAGAACCACAATCTGAGACAGTGTGGAGGCAAGCTGACAAGTATGGAGTACCTAGAATTTGCTTTGTAAATAAGATAGACTGTTTAGGAGCAAACTTTTTCCGCATAAAAGACATGATAGTTACAAACTTGGATGCTAAACCACCAGTGATTCAATTATCCATTGGTTCAAAAGATAATTTTCAAGGTGTGGTTGATTTAGTAAAGATGAAAGCTGTGATTTGGTCAGGGGAAGAGTTAGGTGTGAAGTTTGTATACCAAGATATTTCAGTTGATCTTCAAGAGTTGGCTCAAGACTACCATTCACAGATGATTGAAGCCATTGTTAAATTAGATGATAAAGCCATGGAAAACTATCTAGAAGGATATAAACTTGATGAGAAAACAACTAGGAAATTAATTAGGAAGGGCACCATTTTTGGTAGTTTTGTGCCAGTATTATGTGGTTCAACTTTTAAAAATAAATGGATTCAACCATTACTTAATACTGTTGTGGACTATTTACCTTCACCTCTGGACTTGCCAGTAATGAAGGGAAACAATCTTGAAAATCTTGAACTAATAATTGAAAAGACAACAAGTGATGAACCATTTGCTGGACTAGCTTTCAAGATCATGATAGATCCATTTGTGGGGTCCTTTGCATTTGTGAGAATTTATGCTAGAAAGCTTCTTGCAGGTTCTTATTTGCTTAATGCAAACAAAGGAAAGAAAGAGAGAATTGGTAAACTTCTAGAAATGCATGCCAATAGCAGAGAGGATATTAAGGTGGCTTTAATAGGTGATATTATTGCTTTTGCAGGTCTAAAAGATAACATTACAGGTGAAACTGTTTGTGATACTGATCACCCCATACTACTTGAGTAGATGGACTTCCTTGATCCCATAATTAAGGTTGCAATTGAACCCAAGATAAAAGCTAATGTCGATGAGATGGCAAATGGTTTAATCAAGCTTGCTCAAGAAGATTCTTCTTTTCACTTCTCATTAGATAAAGAGACCAATTAGACTGTGATTGAAGGAATGGGGGAATTACATCTTGAGATCATCAATAATCGTCTTAAGAGGGAATTCCAGGTTCACTTCAACCCCAACATGCTTAATTGTCTTGTTAATATCAATAATATTATGCTCATGCTAATTATATTGTTTCCTAAACATAGCATATATTGTCTTATTGATATGGTGCTTTTCACCACACACCAGTGATGTGCATGTACTTATGTGATAATAACTCATGTGCTCACATTCATAAGCATATGTTTTATTTTATCTTGTTAATTGCTTTTCACCACACACCAATGATTTGCGTGTACTTATGTGATAATAGCTCCTGTGCTCACATTCATAAGCATATGTTTTATTTTATCTTGTTAATTGTTGTGCAATTACTTTGTGTAGGAAAAGAAATCAGTGCAAATTAAATTTTCTTAAAAAAATATCAACCCCTCTTTCCCCAAGCTTTTCCTAAGCATGTGATTGACTTCTCTAATCATAGCTTTGGTTACTTGGTGCTTGTAGGTAAAAGCTAATGTTGGTGCACCTCAAGTAAACTATCGTGAAAGCATTTCTAAAGTCTCAGAAGTGAAATATGTGCACAAGAAACAATCGGGTGGACAAGGATAGTTTGCTGATATCATTGTAAGATTTGAGCCCATAAAGCCTAGTAGTGGATAGGAATTCAAGAGTGAGATCAAGGGAGGTGCTATTCCAAAAGAATATATTCATGGAGTGATGAAAGGACTGAAGGAGTGCATGAGCAATGGTGTTAGTTGTTGGATTTCCTGTTATGGACATATGTGCTGTTCTAATAGATGGTTCTTATCATGATGTCGATTCTTGTGTCTTGGCATTTCAGCTGGTTGCCAGACGAGCTTTTAAAGAAGGGATAAAAAAAGCTAGCGCTAGAATCTTAGAACCTATCATGAAAGTTGAAGTCATAACAGTTGAAGAACACTTGGGAGATGTGATTGGTGATCTAAACTCAAGGAGAGGCCAGATTAACAGCTTTGGTGACAAACCAAGGGGGTTGAAGGTATGTCAAAGGTTTGCCAAAATAAATAACATTCTTTCGAATGAAGGGTTAGTTTTCCTTTGTTCAATTAGTTATTGTATGAAAAAAATGTCTTTACAAAATCTGATTAATCTAGGCAAAATACCCAAATCCATCCCCAAAGTATAGTAGTAGGGACGGATCTATCATCGAACAAAAAACGAGGATAAATCCACCCACACAGTTTTCGATTTAGACAAATCATCTCCAATTTAACGTGTGATGCCATCTGACATCAACAATCTGTTAACAATGAATTTCTTAGCGACATAACAAATTAACAGATTTGCTGACATCCGATGATGTCACACATTAAATATGGGGTGATTTGTCTAAGTTGAAAATTTTGTGGATGGATTTGTCATTGTTTTTTGTTTGGGGGTGGATCTGTCCCTACTAGTATATTTTGGGGGTGGATTTGGGTATTTTGGCATAAATCTATTCTTGTTTGGTTTGGTTCATCACGGGTGGTCGATGTCTTTATCCCTCTGGCAGAAATGTTTCAGTATGTTAGCACTCTCCGAGGAATGACAAAGGGTCGTGCATCCTACACCATGCAATTAGCCAAGTTTGATGTTGTCCCTCAACACATCCAAAACCAGCTTGCTTCCAAAGAGGAAAAAGTTGCAGCCTGATTTTGTTTGCCAATTGCCAGAGTCCACCAAATCCTTCACTCTGTTTTGACACTGCCAAGCTCTTGGATGGAGGATATGAAGCAAAAAGCTGAAGAAACCTGATACTATAAATTTTGTACCAAAATACATTCTTGAGGGAAATTATTTGCATTTGCAAACATAAACTCATTTTGACCTTTTTTTTTTTTTTTTGGAGTTGAAATTCCTTTTTAAATGAACAGAATTTTATTAAATCCTTAAAAAAAGAGAAAACTAAAAAGGCAAAGGAAAGAATAGAGAGTCAAAACCCCAGGTCCGTATGGTTAATTTGCTATCATTAGGGTTTTTCTAGTTGCCCTAAAAAATGTAATAAATATTTTTTATTATAAATTTATGTTTAAAAAATTAAATTTTAATTTATAACTATTTAATTAAATTCTTTCCTTCAATAATGATACTAAAATTAATATTAATTTATATATATATCTATGATGAAACTAACAAGAATTTAATTAAGTTGGTACTTATTAATTTAAAAACTCTGATTTGAGATCAAAATTAGACATCAAACTTTTGTGTTCTTAAGTAGCTAGTCTTCTGATATACCAAAAAAATATACATTTATGACAAACAAAAAAATGCATTATAAACACCTTTATCGTTAAGCCAAACAGTGTCTTACTTACTGAGAGTTGGAGACGTTAATCAGCCCGCAACGAAAAAAACCCAATCAAACTGGGCCATCCACGATGCCCCAAAAAAACAATGGGCTATCCATGGCCCACGACATAGAATCTTCCAGAAGCACCAGAAGTCTCTCGTCCCCTCCTCGATTCTCTTCTTATAACCTTCTCCAGGACGGCGCATGATTTACGAACTCAATCGCCAACGAAACTACCCACGGTGGTACATAAAGAAGGCGAACTCCTCCTGTTTTCGGTCGGCAGAAACTTCCACTTATGGCTGAAGAAGCAAAAGCTAAGGGTAACGCCGCCTTCTCCTCCGGCGACTTTCAGGCGGCCATCCGCCACTTCACTGAAGCAATCAACCTCGCCTCTACGAACCATGTCCTCTACTCCAATCGATCCGCCGCCTACGCCTCCCTCAACCAATTTGAATCAGCATTAACGGATGCTAAGAAGACTGTTGAGCTCAAGCCCGACTGGTCCAAGGGCTACAGCAGGCTTGGAGCAGCTCACCTTGGCTTGCATCAGTACCAAGACGCTATTGCTGCGTACAAGAAGGGCCTCGAGATCGACCCCAGTAATGAAGCTTTGAAGTCTGGTTTGGCTGATGCTCAATCCTCGGCGTCGCGTTCTAGAGCAGCACCGGCACCAAATCCTTTTGGGGATGCTTTTCAGGGGCCTGAGATGTGGGCGAAATTGACCGCGGATCCGACGACGAGGCTCTTTTTGCAGCAGCCAGATTTTGTAAAAGCGATGCAGGACATACAAAAGAATCCAAACAAATTGAATGAGTATTTGAAGGATCAGAGAGTGATGCAGGCACTGGGAGTTCTATTGAACGTGAAATTTAAGGCACATCCTGGCAGCAGTGAAGACACTGATATGCCTGAGGCTGAGACTCCCCCTCCTCAACCAGCTAAGGAGGAGCGTAAAAGGCCCGAACCGGAGCCAGAACTGGAACCAACGGAGCTGTCAGAGGAGGAGAAAGAGAAGAAGGAGAGGAAGGAGAAAGCGCAGAAGGAGAAGGAGGCAGGAAATGTAGCTTATAAGAAGAAAGATTTCGAAACTGCAATTTCCCATTACTCTAAGGCGATGGAATTTGACGATGAGGATATCTCATATCTGACTAATCGGGCTGCTGTGTATTTGGAGATGGGCAAGGTATGGTGTGCTTTAGTTCTATATTCACTCATAGGTTTTTCTGTTGTATTTCTCATTGTTAGAAATATGAAAACTTGCTACTTGCTATTAATATGGTATCTTGCAAATTGAGTTGCAGTTGCTTTTGCCTGGTAATTGGGAATTGTAGATGTTCTAATAGGATTTATAAATAGTTAAGGACCAATAAGTTTCTCCATTTGATGCTTCTAGTATTGGTTTCTGCTCGTAGTTGCTGCCCTTGGTTTTAAAGTTTAAACCTTCCTAATAATGTTTCCTTGATCACTAATGAATCTCTTTGGGATTGCTGCTGGCTTGATCATCATAGGATGTTGTGTCAAAACTCAAAAGCATTAGTTTATGTTGGTGGCTGTCTTTTGTGCGCCCTTTTTCATTACTTTATTGAAAGGTAACATAATGCTTTTTTGGTATGAGTTAATGGAAAGTGAGGTGAAGGTAGAGAGAATAGGTAAATAGGAGATGGAAAATGAATATGATAGAAAGTGAATATGATAAGAGTGTAAAGAAAAAGAATAAGAGCAATAAATAGTAAATTCAACTATCTATTTTTTCCATGTATCTTTGGAGTTAAGGTTTTAGTTCTGTGGATGTTTAAAGTTGTAGATTAAAATTTCATTTCCTTCTCGATTATTTTCACTTTCTGAATTGGTGGAATGGTTGTAACACTCCTCCAAGTCCCCTTCTTCCTTTCTTCTCTTGCCTTGTAAGCATTACAAATTGTGATTGTATCATTTGCAGAGTACTCAGTAAAGCAGTTGAGCTAGAACTTGCTGTACATAACTTTTTCTTTCTTTCTTTTTTTTTTTTTT